TAAGATCTTGCATACTATAGATGTTAAAGATATTGGACGATAGTTTTCAGCTAATAAACGGTTACCTTGTTTAAATACAGGAGTAACATTTGCTTCTGTCCAGTTTTTTGGTACCGTTTGTGTTGCAAGGCTCTTTTTAAATATAAGGCTTAGTGGTATCGCGATAGCCTCTGATGCATCTTTGAGAACAAATGGGTGAATGTTATCACCACCGATTGATTTGGATGTGTCAACGTTTTCGAGTCTGATTTTGATAGTTTGTTCGTTGATATCTTGTAGTATAGTTAACAGAGAACATTTATGTTCCGTGATTATTGGAAAAACTGGCTCATCGTCTGGTTCTTTGACAAAAACTGATTGGAATTGATTGCTAATCGTATTCGCAATATTTATCTGATCGTTTGTGATGTTACCTATCTTATCATATAGTGATCTAATTGCATGTTTTACTTGTTGACGTTTATTGATATATGCATAGATTAATTTAGGATTCTTTTTTGACTCATGAGCTAAGTGTCTTTCAAAGACACAAGTTGATTTAAATATTTCTTTTTTCACCTGTTTAGCTGCCCTATTGTATTTTGATTTCGTTTTTTGTGTCCTACGCCAATTATTATTTTTTGCACGGTAGTAGAGTTTATGCTTGATTTTAAGAGCAATTTTTGCTGTTTTGTTTATCCATGGTTCGAGATTATTTGTGTTGTTTTTATTATTTCTTATTGGTATGAATTTATTACAAGCTAATATATCTTCTTTAACAAAGTATTCATAATCTTCATCAATACTTGAGTTGGTAAATTTTGACTCCCAATCGATTTTATTAAAGTATTGTTTAATTAATTCATAATTACCTTTGTCGAATGCATTTTTTTTTTCTTAAATTATGCATTGTCGTAATTATTGGTTGTTGATTTATTTAATAAATAGCGCCAGGTAAGAACTAGATGACCTTTACCTCTGCCAGTAGCACCGAGGGGAGGAAAGTCTAGTAGTTGATCAAGCCGTTCAGGTTGGTTCATTATTATGTAGTCCAAAGTTGTTTAGCTGATTCATCATTATTTTTAATAAATGTTGGAAAATTGACTAATTGAGTTAAATTATTGTCGTGTAATGTTTCAATAAATGTTTGTTCATATTGTGTGGAAGTTCTGGGTGTATTGTCGCTATCCCATTCAATGCTGGCTAAATTAAAATCTCCCGCAATTACTATGCTAGTAAATAGGCCTTTATTTCTTAGTTCTTTTGCTCGTTTAATTGATTTCAGTATTTCATTAATTTTTGTTGCGTCGTCATTTGGTCTGTAAATGCATCCCACTAAAATCGATTCAGAAGCAATTTTTATATTGCACCAAATCTGTTCAATATTCTCTCTACATAGCTGATTATCAGTTATTTCTAATGACTTAAGATGATTCGAAACATAAATACATACACCACCACCTTTAGAATCACGATCTTTTCTAAAAATAGCGAAATTTGTTATGTTATGTTATGTTAAGTCAATAATAGAAACGATAAAGCAAGTTTGGATCACTTGTATAAATCTAACATAGTGTGAAAATTTTATTTTATTTATTATTATTATTTTTTTGTTATTCACCTCCTCAAGGCCGAGAAGGCCACTACAGATGACGAGGCTACTTAATAGTGGTTATAACCCTCTCTCAACTCTATAACTCCGAAACACGAACCCTGACAAACAAGGCCGCTGCGCGGAGAAACAAATTGAGCGCGGTACTACCAGGGATGTGGTGGGGATCGAACGCGGAACCTCTTGCTTATAAAGCGAGCGTTTTTACCACTACACCACTACCGCATTTATTTAAATAAATGTATCAAGGCAAGAAAAGCAAATTAAAAAAAAGACAAATAATTTTTTTGGATAATAAAATTATTAAGCTAACAAATTTGCTAACAAGATTATTATGTTTATAAACAGTTTTTATATTTAATTTCTAGCTCTGGCTGTCTTAATTATTGGACAGCATTGGATTTAATTGATTACATCGATAAAGATAATGATTATTTACCTTGGGCAGCACTTGACGAAGCCACATTAACATTGAGAAAACTCTTGTCATTCAATGAACAGATATCCAAGCGCTTTAAGGTTGCTTAAATATAAATAAAAAAATAAAATTAAATTATAAATATAAAACTAAATTGCTTTTTTAATATATTGAAATACTTAGTAGCTTGAACTTGGTTTTATAAAATTCTTTCACTTTTTGAGGAAAATTTTTAAAATGTAGTAATAAAAAAATTACATAAATATGTAGTTTTTTTATTACTACATTTTAAAAAACAAATATTTTGTTGTCTTTTGTAACTTTAGAGTTATTTTACTTTCACCTATAGCATTCCAGTTAGAACAAATAAACACAATATTTGACTTATTTTTAGAAGTTTTAAGAAGTCTAAAAATAATGTCTTAAAATTATTGGTAAAATAACTGTAACCAGAAGTAACCAGAGTTCCAAAGAATTTTTAAAAATTTGTTATATTTTTTTTTTAGGATTTTCTTTTAAAGAAAACATCACCTTTGTTCGAAAAATATGGTTTTAGAAAAGAAGAGAACTTTAATAAAAGGTAAACTAATAAAAAAATAATAATAATAAAGCAAACAAAACCATAAAAGTATAACAACAAAAATTAAAGTAGTAACAACTAGTAATAGAATGATGCGAACATTAAAACTATGCTAAACAGAATATTAGCACTCAGCCTGTTTGTCCACGCAGCAGCGTGGAGAAATAGATTTAGTGATAATATTCTGAGAAACAGATTGAGTTTCTCCACGCTGTTTGAAATAGATGGAGAAACAGATTGAGTTTTACTCCATCTGTTTCTCCATGCTGTTTCTTTACTCCCATTTTAAAGTTAAACGGTTAAGAGGCTGTAAAAACTGGTAAGGGTTAGGGTCAGGGTTAGGGTTAGAAAACTATAAAAGAAACTAGCTGGATCTTTGAGGCAATGCTAGCTAGCTAGTACAGTCTAGCTAGCATGGTCTAAAAAGTTTTATTTAAAATTGCTGTTTTAGATTATTTTAGACTAAATTATTTCAGATATAAAAAAATTTTCCAAAAGACTAAAAGTTCTCTTTTCAATATATTAGTTTTTTTTTAATATGTTGTTTATATGTTTTTTTAATATGTTTTTAATAAATGTATGTTTTATGCAATATTGATGGCAACTTCTTGAGAGTCATTAAAAGGTCTTCCTTTTTTTTTCAGTATTTGTATCAGGTTTTAGATTTCTCTACTGGTATTGGCTTTAATTAGGGATTTTATAAATAATAACTTTTCATAGCTTTAAACTTCACCTAAACTAAATCTGAAAAATCTGATACCACTCACTTGAAAATAATTATTGAAATAATTTTCCAATAGATCAGTTTGAAACAAGCTTGTTAAAACATAATTATATCCTTCTGAAAATAAATTTTTTATCAGAGTTGCAGTACCTTTAGTATTGTAGCTAATTATTTGTTTGATCAAAGTGTATTAACTACATTTGTAAAAATTGGGTTAATATTTTTTCATGATATTTCGACATGGGTTAATAAATGGAAAAATTGTAATTTTTCCATTTATTATCCCATGTTGAAGCATCATGAAAAAACTGTGGATTTTTATTGCCTAGAATTGCTGCATTACCAATCCTTCTCAAACAAAAAAGTTCTCCAAACTCCAACAAAAATCAACTATTTACTGCAAACAATTATTGCAATACTGTTGACATTCCTATATTGATGAATGGCCTCTCACTGACTCCTCTTCTTTATTGGATTACTTTTCATTACTGACCTCTCATGGAAATCATATATATAATTGATTGCTAAGTTAGCATCTGCTAAGGTTGCTTAAAGGTTGCTTAAAGATTGCTAAGTTAGCATCTGCTAAGGTTGCTTCTCTTTATTGAGCTTGCTATTTTCTTACTCCTGATTCTATTTTCTATCTCTACAAATCTCTTATTTGTCATATAATAATGTTGTCATATTTGCGCTAGTTTTTCTAATGATGCTCTTTCTCTTGTAGACAAAGTCCAAAAACACATTGTAAATGTAATTGGACCTGCTCTATCTGCCAAGCATGAGACTCTCTGCCATTGTTGTAAGATTGCATCTCTTTCTCTTTTTTACACTTTTTTTTTTTTGTAATTAATACTATCATGGTTGCTCAAAGGAGCTTATATCTCTGGTTTCATCAACCAAAATTCATTCTCGCTTGGCATGTCATTCAGCAAAGTCTCATCTTTTTACTGTATCTGTCTCTGCTCTGAAAACTTTTATTTGACTAGTTTTTTTCTCTGCACCCTATAGAACTCTCTTTCACTTTTATGTTTTATACAACCTACAACTTTTCATATCTTTTGTCAATCATTTCTTTGCTCTTTAACTTTTGTCTTTGTTTTCTAGTAAATTCCAACTTGATTAAAGCTAAAGGAACACTTTGTTTGTTGTTACCCAGATGTAAAGTTTGGGCAGATAATTTGTATCGTTTTTTAAAGATAGCAAATAACAACTCAACTTTCTTGTAGACATTGTGCAATAAACTCTAAGAAATTTCACTGATCAACATATAAACAGTACCATTTCAAAAACATTCAGGTTATGGAACTGGATTCCCTTTTAAAGTAGATTTATATGTTAGTCATTATCAATTATAATACTCTAAATGTTAAGAGTAACATCCCTTTCATTAAAAAATATTTAAAGAATAAGAACACATAATTAATAATTTTTTAAATAAAAACCCTGATTGACTATCATTAAGATCTGTAAAGCTTTTAATTCTATCATGTTTTCTGAAATCATCTGTTTTATCTAGCATAATGATGGTTATATTTGCTAACTGCTGGAAGCTTGCATTAAGACAAGCTTAATTGAATTAGATATTAACATATTTTGGTTGGTAATATTTGTTGGTATAGGATTTTGGGTTTATTTCATTGTTACACATTTACCCCTTTTCAAATATTTATCTTTAAAATGATTGATACATATTGCTGTGTTTTTGTGAGAATCCAATCAACTTGGTTGACAAACTTAATCCAACAATTTTAAAGATGATTGTTATTGGGAAAACTAAAAACATCTATGGTGTTGTTATTGGAACATTCTTTGTTCTTTCACAAAACTTTAAATTAAAATGAAAGTTAAATATGAATTTAAAGTTTGAATTTTTAACTTTTTTTTATTTCTTTTTTCTTTTTTTATTATCTTTTTGATGTACAGCTGATGCATCCTTTTAAAAATTTGGTGGTTTGTTCTTTTTAAGTTTTAAAATGTGTTCTGAATGTTGCTGAATATCTACAATAATAAAATCAACTGTCAGAAATAAATTGATGAAGTGAATTAGTTTTTATTATATCTGAAAACTTTTGTTTGAAAAATTTTTATCTCTTTTGTCTGCTTTTGGTATACAAAATCAAAAAATCCTTTTTTTCATGGATATTGTAAATAATTTTTTGACTAATGCATTGTGTTTATATTAAAAGTTATATAAAGTTTTGCACACTTTAATTTCTTCATTTCTACTACAAAAAAATATTGCAGGGCTGACAACATGGGTTTCGAAGTGAAAGGGCACAATGGATAATATTTAAAAAAAGTCCTTTATATCTGGAAATTTCTATATATTTATATATATATATATATATATATATATATATATATATATATATATATATATATATATATATATATATATACATATATATATATATATATATATATATATATATATATATATATATATATATATATATATATATATATATATATATATATATATATATTATATATATATATATATATATATATATATATATATATATATATATACATATATATCTTATACTGCTGAGTTAGGTGAGCATGATGATATCATACTCACCTAACGTCAAATAGCCTGCTGCTGGGGGCTTCAGAACATACATTGACTGACAAATAGCCTGACTCGCAGTGGAGTGCTGCTACATCGACTGAGGGTTTGGTATGGGTCAGCAACCTTTTTATTCAGTATTTTTATTCATTCAGAAAAATTTTTTTTTTTTGAAAATACAAGCTCCCTGGTAATTTTATATATATATATATATATATATATATATATATATATATATATATATATATATATATATATATATATATATATATATATATATATATATATATATATATATATATATACATATATATATATATATATATATATATATATATATATATGTATATATATATTTATATATATATATATATATATATATATATATGTATATATATATATATACATATATATATATACATATATATATATATATATATATATATATATATACATATATATATATATACATATATGTATATATATATATATATATATATATTTATTTTTTTAAAAAGTTTATACGCAGTTGTTTTTATTGAATTTTACATATTTTGTTATTATCGTATAACAAGAAAATGACTTTTAAAGATTATATACATATATATATATATATATATATATATATATATATATATATATATATATATATATATATATATATATATATATATATATAAGGGTGTTCAGAAATTATTTTTTTTTTTGAAAATACGAGCTCCCTGGTAATTTTCCTATTTAACCTAATAAGATATAATCATTATTCAAATTTCAGGTCAATACCTGCTGATTTGACATTGCCACAGCCTTTTAAAGTTATAATGAATTATTAAAGTTTAATCTTATTCATGAGCTTGAGATAATATTGCAGAACATTAACTAATACTTTTAATTGATTACAACTATGAATCTAAACATAAAAATTGCTACTAGAAAACAATGATATAATTAATTGATTTAGACCTTTATGCAAAATAAAAAATAAATGTTTGAGATTCAAGTAATTACTAGTTTATGAAATGAGTAACAAAACAAAATTATAGAAAACTTTAATTTCCTTATTATTTTTATATATTTAATCAATTGGAAACAATGTTACAGATATTAAATTAAAATGTTTTTATATTAGATTCAAATTCACTAAAACATATTTAGACTTTAAAAAGTGAGATAAAATTTACAAAAGAAAAATTATAATAAAATAAAAACTGTAAAAATTGTAAAAATATGTATTTCCATTATAAAAGAAAATGTTGGTAACTGATGTTCCAATAAGTCTAACAGAGTTATATTCATGCATTTACATACATATTTATTAAAAAGAGTTCTACTTTTTCATCAACATTGATGCTTTATCAAACTTTGGTATGTTCCTTCTATGCTGTTCCACTACTTGTAAAAGGCACTGCTTTTGATTTTCATCCCGTGTTAGACTTTGGTTAAAGTCAGTAACTAGTTTAACTAACCTTTCCACTAAACTGTTGACAACTTTTAGGTCCTTTAATATCCCAGATATGTAGTTAAATTCATAATTTTTTGACCATTCATCAGGGTATAGCGAAAGCCACCTAATATTTACTTTCAAAAGATCAAAAAGAAGCATGGAATTTTTCCAATTAGAGAGCTCACTTTCACATTTTGATTCATCTGTGGCATTACTGGCACTCCAGTTTCCATATTTTCATCGTTTATTTTTTTCGGAATTGTTGAAGCAATTTTTTTTTTTTCATGGCTAGACACAGATCCTGAAAAGAAGGCAAAAGGTGCAACTTCTTCACTTAGGTACCATAGGTGTCTTGTTTGAGCTATCAAAGCTGCTTCTGCTACTCCTGGATCAATTTTTTTAAATATTTCCATGTCCTTCCAAAACTGTAGGATGTTGATAGAAGCATCTATGGAGTTTGAAGATGTCAATTAAACTTTTACATTGAATAAGCTTGTAAATAGGCAAAAGCGATGCAGTTTCTGAATCATATTTTTATCATAACCTAAATACTCACTGAATGCATACATTTTAGCTGCATATAGAATGTTTGCCATCCATCTAGCGTGATAGAAAGCTCCTGGCTTAAGCCATTGTTCTCCCTTTTTCACATTTTTCTCACCAAGGAGTAACAACATGACATAAATGCATTCCCTATAATCATCTCTTATAAATGTATGTTCTTGGAGGGACAGTTTAAGAAAATTAATCATATTTTCTTTTGTGGATTTCAACGAACGTTCATTTACGTCCAGCAATTTAAAATTGTCATTCTTTTAAGGGATTGTGTTCCAAGAGTTCTTTAATTTTAGAAATTCTATATTGGTTGGGCCTGTTGTTGGGCCAAACAGGTTTTTCCATACGGACGACAAAATAATCTCAAAGATATGGTGGCGACAGTAAATAAAACAGCTTAGAATTCAACTTTTTTTCTAGAATGACAGAAGTTCCATTTTTCCATCCTGAGTTGGAAGCTGTGGTATCAAATACCATACCGATAATAGATTTGTTCAACTCCCAGTCTTTAATGAGATCAAAGCTTGTCTCTGCTTGGACTAATCCTGTCCTATTCATGGTTTTTGGAATGCCCAGCAACTTTCCTTCTACATAATTTGGTGCACCTGCAACTAAAACTGCCAATCGTTCCCCATCCCCTTCAATAATTTTTCCATCCCAATAAATTGTTAGAAAGTCGGGCTTGTTAAAGTCAGATTTGATGTTTTTTGCAATGTCTTGGCGATTATATTTACTGGCATTATAGGAATTTGTCTTTCATAGTGTAACATTACTACAAGAAGCACCTCCTTCCTTTGCAATTGCTCCCAAAAATGCTGTTCTTTGTCCCAAGGACAAGTTCAGCCTATCAGCGGTTTGGTAAATGTTTGGATTCAAGAATGGATTTTTTGGCAATAGTAGCTGAACCTTATTTTCAGTATTGGTTGTTTGATTATTTTTCAAGGTTTGTCTTTGATAACTTCGCATTTTTTTCACAAGTATTTCACTGATGCTTGCTTAACTTGAGAATGAATCACAATCTTGGTTTGCTTCACTTTCTGAAGAACTTAAATGTTCAATATTTGAATTTTTTAAGCCTTTTTTTACCAATGTTGCCCTCTCTTGCTCTGTTTTGGTTCGTTCATCTTTCATTTTTAGTTTCTTTGTGTATTGATTATCTGGTATTCCTAGTTTTACTCTTTTTTTATCTTTGATTGCGATTAAAAACTTAATGTCTTCACTTTTTTGTTTATTGTTCCGTAGTCTGTCTTTCTGAATGGTTTCTTCAGCGTTATGGGCAATGAAAAAATAGTTTTCAAGCATTGCTACAAAATTATTTTGTTTAGTGTCATTTGATTTTTGGTCTTTTCTTTTTTGAACGTTCCTGTATTTATTGTGCAATTTAGTTATTTTTTCTTTGATTTTATCTTTCCTTTGGGTTTCAATCCCGGTCTTATGCCAGACTTCTAGAACTGCTTTGCATACTGCATCAGCAACAATTTAATTTGATTTTATTGATTTCTCAGTTTTAAATTCACAGTTCTTAAGGTGAAAAAATAATTTCAAAATATCCCCATTAGTAGGAATAATTGTTTGGCTCAGAACATCGTTAGAATTTCCTATCAACCAAATATTTTGTGACTGTTGCCTTTTTTTAGCCATGTCTAAAGCAATCACCAATTATATACTAGCAATATAGTAAGGTATATATATGTTTTATTCATTTATATTATAATATTTATATTATACATATAAATTGTGTTCATATTAGGTAGTTGTTTAAACTATATTAACAAACGTAACATTAAACTCATTTTTGGAATCAACAACGTAAAAGTATTTGCTAACAAAAGGCTGCCATTTAAATAAAAATCTATAAAAGTTAGGTATAATATATTCTAGTAAAAACCATTACCTTTGTTTAATGTTATAATAAAAGGATACATTAAAAACCTGAACAATGTAATAAAACACCCACATTTAACAACAGTCAACTTGACTTTTACAATGATGTGTAGCACGAGGGGATTGAGTTGAGATGTCAATTCATGTTATAACACGTTTTTGCCACATACAATCCTGTTAATTACTATACAATTCACTAACAATATAATATGTATATTCAACTTACCATTAATTCTGTTGATATATATATGTTTGTTTAGTGTTTACCGACTTAAAATGTATGGTATAAAAAATTACATTAAATATAGGCTTTTATATGGTAAAAAACCATAAAAATACATAAATTCTATTAATTCTAAAGCACGGTGGCAACCTTAAACGTTAATTCAGACTTAAAAAAATTTAGCAACATGTTTATATAAGAAATAAAAATGGGAAAATAGTTAATAAAAAATGGTTAATAAAAAAATTCTCTGCTCATAGGTAAGATTCATGTTGAATTTATACTAGAAGTTTTTTTACACATTTCAAAAAACATTTTTAGTGAAAGTATATTTTGAGTTGCTGACTTGCTGACTCCAGATTAGCATAATTATTTAGGTTTTTACTTATTTTCCATTTTTCTTTTAGTCTGTTGGAACTCTTTTATGTTTTATCACAATTTTCAATCCTTTTAAATCATCTTTTTGAAATATATAAAAAATTTTAATATAGGAAACACAATAGGCTGAAAAGTTAAAACATGGAGTTTATCAAACATAACCGTTGTCATCATTGTCATTAATAAAACATAGTGATGACAATGATCTGTAATTTTAATTCATAAATTTTAGTACAATATAAAATATTTAACAATAATCATGTATGTCTGTTGCTCTAAACTGACACGGTTCGTTTGAATTATTAAACTATTACATTCTGCTTTTTTTTTCTTTTAGAAATTTACAAGTTTTAATTGTAAGTTTAGCCTGTGAGAGTGGCCATCCTGCATGTCTGAAAAATGCTTCTATGTTATTCAATATGTGGATGAACCAGCCAAATCAAAATCCGTAAGCAAATGGTTTTTAAAATTAATTCATTAATTAAAGCAATATATGGTTTGTTTCAATACAACATTTAAATCTTTTATAAGTTATTTTTGGATATTTTAAAAGATAGCACAAACATAATAAAAGCTGTTTATTACAATAATTAAATCTATTATTATATATATATTATAAATATTAAATCTATTATTACTTTATCTATATATTATAAATATTAAATCTATTATTACTTTATCTATATATTACTTTAATCTATTACTTTATCTATTATTACTTTATCTATATATTACTTTAATCTATTACTTTATCTATTATTACTTTATCTATATATTACTTTAATCTATTACTTTATCTATTATTACTTTATCTATATATTATAAAAAGTCTAAGTAACTTGCTTGCTACTTATCTTGATGTTTTTTTTAAATATGTATTAAAATAATTAATCATAAGAATGCAATAAATTATTCATAAATGAGCACTTTAGTATGTTGAATTTAATTATTCAGAATTTCTCCAGATTTTCGTGATACAGTTTATTACTATGGTGTTCAAAACGGTTATGAAAAAGAGTGGAATTTTTTGTATGATCGCTACTTACATACAAATACTCCTTCTGAAACTTCCAAACTTTTACATGGGATGGCTGGATCAAAGCAACTTTGGTTGATTGATAGGTATGAATTGTAACTTTTGTATTTGCCTGATATTCATATTTACTATTGCAAATTTAGGTTGATGGAAACTAATATATTCTGTAGGTTTTTATTTTTAAAACATAAAGATTAGTTAATGTATGTGATGAGCCACCCCCTCTGCCCCCTATCTTCCCCACCAATCTTTTTTTGTGTTTCATCTTTAGTGATAAATTTATGTATACTAATTTTCAAGAGAAAGCAGAATATGGACAACAGTTTTTCGAGCTTTTGACATTGGTAACTATTATTAAAAAATTAGATACATAATTGAATTGTAAGTTATCCTTTCAAGTATTTTTGACAACTTGGTAACACTGGCAAATAAGTAAACATGCGAGGAGAGCTGCTATATTGACTGAGGCTTTGGTTTGGGCAGGCAAACCATCAATAAATATATATGTATATATATATATGTATATATATATATATATATATATATATATATATATATATATATATATATATATAATATATATATATATATATATATATATATATATATATATATATATATATATATATATATATATATATATATATATATATATATATATATATATATATATATATATATATATTAGGCCACTGTCATGTATCAGGCAGCTCTTGGCTCACCATGGGATTTATGTATTCTATATATAGAAATTATTTGCCACCAAAAAAAAGCTGTAATCTTTTTGGGAAACATAAAAGTATTAAAACTTATCTAAGACTTTTAAAAATTAATAAGCCTAAGTATTATAAATTATAAAACAATACCTTAAAATGGTAACACAGTATAAATAATAATAAAAAATTAAAAAATAGTATAAATATGCATGATGTTAAAAAAACCTTTTGTAAATCATAAATTTTCATAAATCACACATTTAAAAATTAAAATGAATGGAAATAAAAATGGAATTAAAATTGTGCATACTTTTGGATGCAGAAAATTCAAAATTAAATTAATGTATACCTTCTATTCAAAACTCTTGCTCTTTTTACCAGCAAACACTATATGACATATGTGATATAAATATATATTTTTATATTATAGTATAAATGATATATAGTATATTATCAAAACTAGTATATTATAAAAAATAACAAAAATATAAGCCCTTGCTGGTGGAAAGAGCAAGAGTTTTTTATAAAAGTTATACATTAATTTTATTTTATTATATTTTTAATTTTACATTATAAGTTTAAACTTTATTAACTATTCCTTTTTTTTGACAATCCCAAAATCCCGGGAAATTTCGAAGACTAATCCCGGGATTTCAGGATGAACAATTTGTACAAAATCCTGGGATTTCGGGATCCCGGGATCGCCATCCCTAATTAAGGTTGAGACTTGGAAAGATAGAATTGAAGCAAAAGGGCTATAAATAAACATGAATAAAACAAAAGTTATGGATTGTAAAGTCAAGAATGAGCAAGCAGAAAATACTGGGAAGTAGCCATGTGGAGTGTGTAGAAAGAGAGTTGGAGCTAACTCTGTAGTTTGTACAGTTTGTATGCAATGGTTTCTTAAAATGGTTTCATAAGTAGGTATATAAGATATTCTTTAAAGATTCTACAGCTCATATGTCCAGAGTGTTATGATGGCAGTGAAACATGGGCAATTAAATCAAAATCAGAACTTTCTGTGAACACTCTCAAATAAAAAAGAATCTTGCAAAAAAAAAAAGGATTATAATTTTTTTGAGAAAAGAGACAAATACTCAAAAACTTTAAAGTGGTTTCCCAAAATTATCTTATTGTTAATAGTCCAAATTAGCTAATTTTTTTGGAACCGTGATTATATATATGTATAACTTAAATCCCAAAGTGAGCCAATGTGTTCAGAAAAAATAAGTATGTTTAGACAGTGGTCTAATATATATAGTAGTAGTAGTAGTAGTAGTAGTAGTAGTAGTAGTAGTAGTAGTAGTAGTAGTAGTAGTAGTAGTAGTAGTAGTAGTAGTAGTAGTAGTAGTAGTAGTAGTAGTAGTAGTAGTAGTAGAGTAGTAGTAGTAGTAGTAGTAGTAGTAGTAGTAGTAGTGGTAGTAGTAGTAGTAGTAGTAGTAGTAGTAGTAGTAGTAATAGTAGTAATATATATATATATATATATATATATATATATATATATATATATATATATATATATGTATATATGTAATAGTACAAATTTTGATGTATTTTTTCTTATAAAGTACTTGTTACATTTCAATTTTTAATAATTTCTTTAAAATGTTTTACTTTAAGCATTTTATCTTTTAAACAAAAGCAAATCATTATAGTTATAAAATGAAAATACACAAAAAATTTTCGATTTAATTCATATTTAGAAAAACTAAATATTACTATTGAAAAATATATATTAAATTTAATTAAGAGAACAGATTAAATTAGATTTAATCAGGGGGTAGATCAAAACTATCAGAGCTTCCGTTTTTATCAAAAAAATAAAAGCAAAAAAAAGAGAAAGGTCAATTTTACAAAAGTATTAAACTTACTCTTACTTCTTTATGTGTTATATGAATGGCTGTATGAGTATGAATGGATATCTAAATGAATACATATTGGATAAATATAAATGGGTTGATTTCCTTTTTGTATTGTATAAATATTTGATATGAACTATGTATGTGGTAGTGGTGTAGTGGTAGAGTGCTTAATAAGCAAGAAGTTCCAAGTTTTATCCTTACCACATCCCTGGTAGTACTGTGTTTAACTTGCTTCTCTTGTTTGTTAAAACTCATATTTCTGAGTTGAGAATGGGTTGTAATGGCAATTAAAAAAAAAGAAAACCTCCTTGACTGTAGTTCCTCGGCCTTAGAGAGGTAATTAACTTTAAAAAATATATATGTTATTGTGTGTAATGGTTTTTTTGTGTGTTTGCTATTTTTTTTTTTTTTTTTTTTTTTTATTGTTTGTATATTACCCTTCTCATATATAAACTTGCACAATATAAGTTTGTGTTAATTAGAAAAATTAAGAATTACAATAAAAATACGGTTTGATTAAAAAATAAAGTAAAATTAATTATAAAAAGCTCTTATAAGATAAAATGTTATAAAAGTAGTAAAAATAATTTTATGAAATTTAAAAACTTAATTATGATTTTAAAATGTCAGCAAACAACCGAAAAACCTGTATGCTGTTTATAACTGGTACATTTAATATATTTAGATATCTGCTTAAATCATTAAATAATACAATTGTAAAAGATCAAGATTTTGGATATGTAATAAACTATGTGGCGAACAGTAATGCTGTTGGTCAGTATCTTTCTTTTTCTTTTATCAAAGAGCATTGGTCATTTCTTTATAATAGGTAAGTTTTTTTGTTTTTGTTTTTTTTTCTGTGTAGGGATTAAGAAGGTTATTGCTATATTAAATAATGCTAAGATTGGTATTAATTTTAATTATTTGGTATTAGTAGTTGCTAAAAATATGTTTTCATATAATTTTGTTATTATTAATAAGTATTGATAAAAATTTTTAATGATGGGATGGAAGCGTCAGGAAAGTTTATGTATGTGTTAAAATAATGATGTTAATTAGCATTGAAAAATTTTGCTTACTATCACTGCATCATTGTCTATTGTTTAAAATCAAAGTAACACGTTTAGCATTATCAGCTTATATAGTGTATTCAGTATTCAGTTTTTTTTAAAAATCCTAAAAAATTATGGGCATCCAAAGTTTCATTAGGAAGTTTTAATGGCCATTTTGTTTAAGTCATATACCCATGTATTTAAGCCATGTTTAAATGCTATAGTTATCTAATCAAGCAAATAAAAACAAACCTGCCTTAGAAATTGATTTGGCATAGAACTACATTGACTTGCTTCTACAGTTATTTATATATTATATATTCTATAGTTGTTCATAATTATTCCATTTGATATGTCAAATAATTTTTTACTTTATAACTTTTTTGCCATAATAGAGACTTAATTACTAACTTTAATGAGATTTATTACTAACTTAATTAAAATTAAATGTATGTATTTATATGCAATACTCATATGCAATAGAGAAAAGACCAATAAACAAAGTTTTGCAAATAGCCAAAAATTAGCTTTTAGACCTATTTATGTCAATTGAATAAAAAAAACACAATATTTAGCTATATCATACTTCACCATTCAATAAACTTGGTGTTTACTTTCTTTGTGTTTTTTGTATTCATTTTTATTTCATTTGAGTTATGTATAAAATTTGTAATATGTACATTATAATATGTACTATGTAATGTGTACTTTTTTTTAAGGAAAAATAAGTTTTTTACTTTCTCAACCTTTCTTTGTGAATATACCTTAAAACAAGATTTTTCTTTGTAAATATGCTTTAAAGAAAGATTTTTCTTTGTAAATATGCCTTAAAGCAAAAATTTTTTCTTAAATACGATCTTAAAATAGTAAATAATTTACATGCAAAAAAGTTGCAGTAATCTCATAATGCAAAACTCTGATAAAGCAAATATATTATTAAGAATGTTTGGTAAATCCGGTAAACAGATTTGTTTAAGAATTATATATATATATTATAAATCAAGTTTTGTTTCTGTATACTATATAGAAATACCAAATCTTCTGCATATAAATTAACAAAGTATTGGAAACTTTTCAGTAATTTTGCTTAGATATACAAGAATCATTTTGTCTGGAAAACAACAATTAAACAAAAAAAATAACCATGCAAACAACCCATCATCACTAAATCAGTTCCACTCAGCTTAGTTATAAGCATTTTATTACTTTTGAGCAAAAGTTCATTAATTTATGACACATTTATGTTTTATTATTTATGTTTATTAATTTATGTTTCAATTATATAATAATCATTTTCAAGTATAACTGTTAAATAAAAAACTATTTATTAACATTATATACTTGAAAATGATTATTGTATATTTGAAGCATGTTGTTGAAACTGAAAAAAATTGTTATATTTATTAGACTTATTACAAAATTTATGCTATTACGACCATATATGTATATATATAAAGTTTTTTTGTTTATATAATAAATTAAAGTGCAAAAATATATTTATTGTCAATGTTAATATATGAAGAAAAACCTGTATATATTTTAAAAGAGTTTTAAAGGTGTATTTACTACATATACCTACATAATGTATATACCTACAAAACTCAAATTTAAAATTGCATGCAAAGCATGGTACTTTTCAGCAAGAAATCTTTTTAAGAAAACATTTCCTTCATTCAAGACAATTTTCAACTGTTATTGTGCAAAAATAGAACTATAAAGTAAAAGGTTGACATTAAAGATGTGTTTATAAGTTTTTTATTTGTTTTGTTCAAAAAAAACTTATTTCTAACTAGATGTTTTTTTTTACACTTTTCAATTATCCTATAAAGCATGTAACATAGTTTAACATATTAATGGAGTTGAATTATATTTTGTTATCAAAATTTGTGTTTTTTCAAAATATACTTCATTTTTAACACAAAAATGATTTTGCTTCTGAAACAAACCTCTGGTACTGAATTTGATACTTACAAATTATAAAACTCCCTCAAGTGGCTTTGAGAAGCAAATCAGTATGGATATATAGTTAAAAGCTGTTAAATCAGTATCATATTTATGTATTAGGACTATTAGGGTTATATTTAAATTATCAGAGAAAAGCCCGGGATTATGTTCAGTTATATAAAATACTGCTTTCATAATGCTGGCATTGATATTGTCAATCTTCTTTGTAAAAGATAAAAGGAATTTGGTTCCAGCAAATATTTTTTTATATAATTGTCCTTATTGTCCTTATTATTTTTTTAAATATATAATATAAAGTCTTTGCTTTTTAGTCCTTCTACAAGACAGTAGCAATTTACAAAATGAATGACTTTGTTAAGTTGTCTTTAGCCTTTACTTAATCAAGAGTCATAAAGCAGAAAAGTAGTTTAAGTCAGAGTTAACTTCTATTCTTTGCCTGAGAAAGTAAATCAGAAAATGTTAGTTTCAAAAAAAAATAAAGCTGATCAATTTATTGGTTTTTATTGGATTATTAGTCGCAGATTAATCTGAAGATTAATCTGCTACTAATAATAACCAAATAATTTATCATTTGCAGAAAAGGATTAGCAGCAGGATAATCATGATTCTAATCTAAACCAAAATTTGGTTTTGAAATCTAACTGAAACTTGATTTTGAAAGTTCTAAATTGATTCACATTTATCACAAAGTTGATGAAATAATTGAAAATATATGCACCTTTTTTAGATAACTTTCATATATATATATATATATATATATATATATATATATATATATATATATATATATATATATATATATATATATATGTATATATATATATATATATATATATATATATATATATATATATATATATATATATATATATATATCACTTTAAACAAAAACTGGTCTAGCAAATCATCAGTTATTAATTATCATCGGATGTCAATTTTTCTCTGTCTATTTCACCTTATAATAGTTTGATAAATGAAAATGTGATAATTATCTTAACTCTTGTTATCAAATCTCTTATTAAATATAATAATTCGATCATATATTCAACAATCACATTTTCATAAAAAAATAATTTTTTTGAAAATGTGAAAATTATCTTAATTATCACAATTATGATAATTATCAAAAAATTATCATAGTTATCATACTTAATTATGATAATTACGATAATTGTGATATCTCATTTGTGTTCGTATTAAGGGGAAAAATTTTAAAAACTTATTTCATTAGAAAAGTTTAAAGATAAGTTTAATAGAGGTCAGAAAAAATTTTTAATAAAAATAATTGATGAGTTACTAGAATAATATATTAAGTATTTTAACAAACATGAATATAATTTAACAAACTTTCAGGCTTGCGGTAAAGTTGCGAACTACAGCCATTATGTTTTATATTTATAAATATATATATATGGGTGGTTCAGATTAAGGTGAAAATTTTTTATAAACTAAAATGGAAGTTCAAAAGGTGCACAGACCCTTGTTTTATATGTAAGATTTTTTTAAATATAATTTAAAAAAAGTTTAAGGGTGGCACAGGACCATAAAGTACTTTTTTTTTTAACTTTTTTGACATTTTTCAATCCCATGTGTGCCACCCTTAAAGATTATTGAATTAAATTTTTTTTTAGATATTTATTTTCACAATGATTAGTATTAAAAAAGGAACTCTCTCTCTCTCTCTCTCTCTCTCTCTCTCTCTCTCTATATATATATATATATATATATATATATATATATATATATATATATATATATATATATATATATATATATATATATATATATTTAATAAAAAAGTTTTTCTTTTTAATATAACAAAGTTTTTTATTATTTCTATACACAAACACACATTATTTCTATACACTGTTTCCATGACAGCAGTGTGATTTCATTGTGCTAATGTATTTTACATGCTAAATTTTCAATATCTGCTGTTTTAATAAAATTGAACAAAAATTTTACATATGTAAAATGTTGATTTTGCAAATATAAATTTGCAGTGATTTAATATATTATTCGTTCTTGCATAATATTGAAGTATGTTTTTAGAAATTAAAAAAAATCTAAATATATGTTATTATAATTCTTTTACATGAAATAAAAAGTAAAAATAAAATGTTATACCAAAGGTTCATGGAAAAACAAGAAATTGAGCAAAGTTATATTCTTAGTTAAATAACTAGGAAGACACTATCATCTATCATCTGTTCAGTTTTCAACTGTTAAAGAAATAATCCAGTATTATCTTTAACCACAAGAGTCCAAACCATCTGTTTCTCTCAAAAACTTAGTTTGTCGTCCAAACAAAAGTTCTACATTTACACCAAATTTTCCAGAAGCGGAAGAGAACTGCTGCATTATATCTAAGCTGTAGGTTCCCTGGGAACTTGAAAGATACAGAATTAGTTGCTTGCAATTCATTTTACGGTTAATATTATTTATTAAATCTTAATACAGTGAACGCTCTACATAAGCAACCTCTCTATAAGCAACATTCTTTATAAGCAACCTCTATAAAAGAAACTTTAGTTCAACTGCTCTGTATAAGCAACTTATTTCTTTAAAGCTAAATATATTTGAGTTAAATTTAGGATGATTTAGAAGTAAAATCAGCTATTCACATTAACATAACCTCAAATTATAAAAAATTATGTTATTTTAATGTTTATGTTTTTTGCTATTATTGATGTGAATTTCAGTTAAATAGAATAGTTACTTAAAATTTGTTAAAATTTGTTTTGTTGATTAATAAATCAACTCATCCACAAAGTTGTAAAAAATTTACCTAAAATTTTAAAAAAATAACTTC